TCCCAGTAAGCTCTGGATGCTCTGAGTGCTCTGGCCGCATGATTTCACACTTGTCTCCCACTTGTCTTCCACTTGTTTCCCATGGTCTGTCTGGATGCTTTGTATCCCCGGGCTTGGCTGGATGCTGGGCCGATTAAATTTTTTTGATGCGCGCAAGGTCGTTGCTCTGTTGTATTTCTGGTGTTTCGAGTTTGAAAGCTGCATTGGCTGCACTGGGCCGTCGATGAGTTGCCGGCTCAGATCATGAATGACGCATGGTTTAGTGTTGCAGTTTGCCAAAGGGACAGCTCGCCATCTTGCGACATGTTATCAGACAAGCTTTGTTACTGATTGCTTTTCGCGAGTGTTGCAACATGCGGAAAGCGCGAAAAGCTCCATCCCAATGGCTGCCCGTCTGGAAGTGCCAGTTTCAGAAGGAGAATCCTAAGAAGGCAGGCCATCATGAGAGCTTGGTTTTGGATCCAACAACATGGATATATATATATATATTTTTTTTAATGTATGTATGTATATATATATATTTATTTGTAGCATATGCAGATGTATGTTTACATATATATAAATGGTATGTAAAATGCGGTCTATATATACATATGTATGTTTTTAAGTCTTTGAGTATGCAAACATGTTCTGTGTCATGGCAAGCGGCAGGCGCACTCTCTTGCTTGGCACCGCTTTACAAGTTATGCTGCGGCTGTGACTATTGGAGAAGCTTTTTGCGGCGGAGCCAATCACAGGGACTTGGATTTTGATTATCAACGAGGCTATATGACGTGTCCTGAAGCAGATGAGCAGATTAAAGCTGATTTGGAGGAGCAGGTTGGGGTTGCTGGGAGGGAGGCTTTGATCTATGGATTGCTTTTTGTTACGGCTGCTATGTTTTTGTACTTTGAGCTTTGCAAGTGGCGCTATTCGGTGAGCGCATTGGAGGAAAGTCTTGTTGAAGCTCACGGGCCTGAAGCTCCAGATCACGACGGAAAACCGGCAGAGAAGGCATTGTTGCTTTAGTGGTGTGCCATTCAATTAAAGCTTTGCTTTGCTTTGAGATATGAATGAACATGTAAGCAAGCGTGTTCTTTTGCCAGGATTTGGTGGCAATTCATGTGAATGAGGATGATTTGCCGGCTGTGGCAGTTTGTGATCGATTCTTGTTGGAGACTATGGTCAATGGAAAGACAGATGCAGCTGAGAAAAGTTTGCCGGATAACGATATCATCTTTGTTGTTAGCAAGGGCGTTCAGACCGATATAACAGAGCTTGGGGCTTTGTCCTGCACTTCTGCTTGCGCTGGGGGTCACTCTCAGTGATGGATGGTTGATTGTATCGATGTCAACATTTTGGTCGCAGTCACGCGGCATGTGACATGATGAAAAACGGAATGCATGCTGTGTGACCCTTTTTGGCGCCTGGCTGCCCTGACTCTGAAGAGTCGTTGTGGCAGATGGCCTGCTGCGGGTTCATGAGGGTTGCGTGATGGTAGCCAAAAAGAAGATGTTTTTACTGACTTGCGAAAGCCAGCATGTTTGAATGCTTTTTTGCCGTTGCGGTGCTTGTCAAACACTGTTCGCAGCAGAGCAATGCCATTGCGTAACCATGTGTTCAGGATCGAGGAAGTTTGTTTGTTTTCTATTTTTTAATTCTTATTTTACATATCTTTTCGGGATGCTGAAGTGAGCAGACATTAGCATTGTTTGCAAGAGTCGTGCGGTTTTTGCGCTTGCTTCAAGAATTCAATTTGTTGATCAAGGATTTCTTTTTGCCAGATTGGGTGTAAACAACACTTTCGATCTTTTAGGGGGGGCAGGGCAGCGCAAAAAACATTTTCAACTGCACTGACAACATTCAAACAACATACCAAGGGAATGATCACAAGGGTTCACCGTAATGTTCTTGCGTCGCAACACGATTCCACAGGAAACGGGCCTTGTGACGAGTAAAAAATCCGTAGAAGTGCGGCTTCAAGTCAAGTATGGCTATGCTGTGCCGCGAACTGATTTTGCGTTTTGATTTGCAAATGTTATTCCTTGTCACAGCCTTTGTTTTATGTTCGGAGTGGGTGCATGTAGACACGATCATTGCGTTGGACGTGATAGGCACGACAGCTGAACGATGTATTGCGGAACATGCAGCGGCGCAAAAGCTTGTCAGTCAAAGTACGTGAAGGTTGGCCTTGCAAGTCTCGTTGAGCGCTTGAAAGCTTGGTTACCGCGCCAGAATTCCCATGAATTTCATTTTGTTTAATGTGCCGAGCTCGCCAAATTGCAGAATTGCAGACAGCTCTCACAAGTAATGTGCAGATAGAAGAACCTAAAAATCAAGAAGGTTGCAACGGCTTGCTCTCCAACACCAGTGCTGCAACCTGCCGCGCGCGACCGCCTTTGCACGCTGGAGCAAGTGACCGCTCGTGACCCCGCCGCAAATGCGCTGCAAGTGAATCCAGCAAGTAACCGCCACTGCCCG